TGTTTTAAAGGTCATTTTATCCGCACATTTTCTCAAGTTTTATCTGCTCGCAATAAAAATACTAAATCTAACGGACTATATTTGGAAAAAAAATATCACGAGGGACTGAAAAACATGGTAGATTTCTACAGAATCGATGAAACACTAAATTTCCTTTTGTTCGAAAACGATGAGTCGCTGACAAACAATAATAATAATAATAATAATAAAAAAGATAAAGGACACAGAGATATCAATTTTGGACATAACTTTTCTATAACTTGAGTCTAACTTTTTTAACTTGAATCTGAATTTAAATCTAAATCATATAAATGTAAAAGCGTTTAAACAACAAAGTGTTTCAGAGGTCATTTTATCCACATTTTATCTGCTCGCAATAAAAATACAAAAGGTGGGCTATATTTGGATTTGAAATGAAACAAAAACTATCACAAGGGACTGAAAAACGTGGACGATTTCTGCAGAATCAGTGAAGCACTAAATTTAATCTGAGGTGAGAGAAATGTAATTTGTTCGACAACAACAATGCATCATTTTCTATAACCCGAGTCTAACTTTTCTAACTTGAATTTGGACCTTAAATCCAAATCATACACTTGTGTCTCTATAGTCCCAATAACAAACTATTAACAAAGTGTTTTAGAGGTCATTTTATCCACGTATTTTCGCCTTGCAGGAATAATACAGAACATGAACTATACTTACATTTGAATGGGTGAAAAAATGCTAAGAGCGGCCGAGGGACAAGTGGCATCTGAGGGCTCATATTGTACAAAAATGGCATGCAATGTTAGAGAAAAGTACATTTTATTTTCACAAACTGGAAATTCTATTAAATTGTGAAGCGTACTATAACTGAAATATAGGTTTTTAATTAATTTGAAGGTTTTTAATTAATCTGAAGGTCCAAAACGTCCTATTCTCCGTGAAGATGTTGATTTGAAATGGCCTAAAATGTATCTATCTTCATGGAGACAAGACGTATTTTTGGCTATAAAAACACCTGTAATTGAATAAATGAAAATTAGATAAGATAATACCAAACCACACTGGAAAAAAAAACAATATCTAGTTAAATTTAAATGACTTTGGGCCTGTTTACATGAAAACGCTTGCAGGTAAAAAGGACAAAATATTTTATCGGAAGTGCCTTTCGTTTAGAGCAGGGGTGTCAAAATCATTACTATCCAACCTTTGATCCCAAAGAGGCTGGATCAGAAAACTCATGGCATATACACTCCAAAAACAGCAATAAGTTCAAATATTTGTGCAGAGAAACACAAATCTATTACAGAAATGTTTTTTAATTGATGAACTCTTTCTTTTACAAAATATTATAATATTATGAACAACCTGAAACTTTAAGAAAAATGCAATTTCAACACAATGTTTTAACATGAACTTTGGATGCAAATAGGAAGAAGTAAATTTTTCTTGGAAAATCCTGCACTCGGCTCCACTTTTCTCATGTTGGACATTTTTCTGATGAGGGTGTCACGGTCAACAGTCAAAACGATCGTCCTTTAAGAGCGTTTGGAAAGAGACAAGTCTTCATTTGTGCTGCTCTGGTGGGAGGGGCCACGTACAGAGACGCTGGAGACGCTGCTGTGATAAACACCACAGAAAATTACCAAGATTTTAATAGAAAATGTAATTAAAATATTTTAGTAGAAAATCAGCCGAGGGCCAGATTAAAGGTCTTAGAGGGCCGTATCTGGCCCCCGGGCCTGAGTTTGACACCACTGGTTTAGACGGTGACGGCGTTTTTGGGGCTTAAAAACGCAAAAAAATCTGAAACCATCCTCCAGAGTGGAAAAGTTGAATAGCGTTGTGTTTCCGTCTAAACTGCCCAAGATGCAAAACTCTGGTCAGATCTGCTCACGCCGTGTACGCGTTTACGTCACAAACATCACCATTGAGCCGCCTGGTATGCAAACACAATCGAATTCCACACACTTTTGCATCACTGTATACACGCAGATTTCCTCCTGAAAACACTCGTCTGAACGCGAAATAAAAAGTGAAGACGCGACGCCACTTTTCGTCTTCTGTTCAGACCATCGTCATATAAACATAGACGTAAATTAAGAACATTTTACTTTATTTGAGTCGATTCAACTTGACAAATAAAAGTACCTACTAATGGAATAAGTGTGTTTTTTCAAATTTTGTTTCTTATTTTAAGTGGAGCAAGATGCATTTTTATATTTTAAGCACAAAAAAATCTTGTTCCACGGGCAGATAATTTTACTCGTGAAGTGAAATTTACTCAAATCACGACAAAACTTTCTTAATTCACGTCATCGTAACTTGACTAGATTTTGTTTTTTGCAGATCATGGAACATTCAGGGCAAGGCAGGCGATGGACTCTCTTCCAAAAGTTACACAGTGAAGCTTTAAAAAACAGATAAAGCAGCTGAATCTCCAAAAAAGTGCAGAAATATTAATAAAACCTGAGAAAAAACTGACCAGTGAAGCTGCATCTAAATCTAAATCTAAATAAAAATGATATAACTGGTCCAAAACAATTAAAACGCAAAAAAATATAAAATAAAATAAGAAAAGAAACGAATACATTGTGTGTTATTTTAATATTCCGAGCGGTGTTTTGCGAACTCCATTATGACCAGTTTTTATTCACCGTTACGAAAATTCTCCACAACAACAGCTGAGGAGTGGGAGGAGCAGCAGCTGAACAGGTGCGACCTCTGACCCTGCATCTTTAGCTAAAGGCAAAACTTCGCTCTCCACAAGAGCTCCTCCTCAAGCACAGATGGAGACGAGACGCTTCCACCTGAGATTAATTTAACCGAGAGGCGAGACGAAGGTAATGCATTGTTATTGTATCTGCGCAGTGCTGAATTTAAAGGTCCTACATGACACAAAACTGACACATGTGAGGTTTAAGTCGTGTTCTAATGTTGTTACCTCCTCGAAAACAGACCTGGAGCTGTGTTTTGTTTTATTCACGTTTGAGTAACCAATCCATGTGTCATTCGTTCATTCGTTATTCAAATTAAAACCAAAAATACCGAAAAATGAAAAAAACAACTACCGTATTTTCTGCACTACAGGGCGCACTTAAAAGCCTTTAATTTCATCAAAAAATGACTGCGCGCTTTATAATCAAGTGAGCCTTATACCGTATTTTCCGGGCTATTAGACGCGCTCTTAAGCCTCCAACCTCATCAAAAAACGACTGCGTGCCCCACAATTCCAGAGCGCCCTATACACGAATCCACTCAGGCGTCCCAGGACGACTTCAGTAAACTACAAAGCCGCAAACACACACGGAGCAGACAGCGACCGCGCAGCGAAAAACATCCACAGACACACTCATCACTCCATCCACGCCGACGAGGAACGGAACGGAGGAACGAACCGAAAAATCAAGCGCAATGTGCCGCTTCTGGACACAGCTGAACAACTGAGTCACTGCGAACACACCGACAATCCAGCGTCCCAGACAGCACCCTCCCTACACACCACAACTGAACAAAGCCCAGAGTCACCGTGAACGAACAAACAAACAAAACCACTCACCCATCACACTGCTGTTTCCCCTTTAAAGTCTGGTGTGGTTTATTTGTGAAAAAAGTTCGAAAATAGACCATTTAATGATCTTATAATCCAGAGCGCCCTATAATGCGGAAAATACGGTATATGAATTTATTGGGGTGTCTTAGTACGACTTTAGTAAACTACAAAGCCACTCCACTTGCAGCATTATGGCTCCCGTAGTCAGGAGCATCAGGAGTAATACTACAATACTATAATACTATAATACATACTGTGATTCCTTTTAATATCAAAATGCACCTGTCAAGAGACACGCTCACAACACCCACTTTAAACTCAACAAGAGAAGGAGAAAACACATTCACCAAGACAGAGAGACAGCGCTGAGCGACTTACGCCATTGATCTGCCAACAGATCGTGGACGCCTGGACTAAGGATCAGTATCAACTGTGGTCCGAGCTTTCACCAAGACCAGAATCATCACTGAACTGCCAGGGAACAGTAACCACACTGACTCGGATAATGACGAGAGGAAGGCGGGTGTGCAACTGTTTGAACAATTATGAGTTATTGTGAATACACTAACAATTTAGAGTCTCAGACAGTATTTTTTTTTTTACGAACAAAGTTGAGAGTTATTGTGAACGCGTTAAATAAAGTCTGACTGATTTATCTAACTGTTGTGTTTCATTTAATGCGCCCTACAGTCCGGTGCGGTTTATATGTGAAAAAAGTACAAAAATGGACCATTCAATGACAGTGCGCCTTATAATCCAGAGCGCCTTATAGTGCAGAAAATATGGTATTTTCTTCATTATTTGTCTCCAAAACCAAAATAACAATTTATTTTTTTCAGTTTTCAATTTTGTGTTGAAACGAGTAATGGAAAAAATGGATAATGACCGTTTCCTGTTTTATCCAATTTTGACCATGGACCTATAATAAAAACTGAAGATTTTGCATTTTGTCCAAAACTGTACCAAAAATGAACTGAACCGTGAACTGTTACACTCATATTCATTTTAAAAAATTTTCACAGCCTAGACCAGTTTTTTTTTTTTTTATCATTACTTAAGTCATTTCTTGGACCACTTCTACTTATAATAATACTAGTAATACTATTTTGAAGTACTTGTAGTTACTTGAGTTGAATTTTTGGCCACTCTACTTTGAAATAATTTGGATTATTGTATAACTTTATTTTTATTTACTTGTATATATACAGTTATATTATTACGCCTTATTTGAAATCAGTCTCTTGCTTTTTTTTTTTTTTTACTTATTTAGAGTTTATTATTACCATTTATACTTTTTCTTTTTGTTATTATATTATACTGTGATGTGTGAGCTACTGTGTCCAAGTAATTTCCCTTGTGGATCAGTGAAGCTCGTCTCAGTCTGAGTTTTCTGCAGTAAATGAGCAGCTGTAGCGCCGCGTGTTTGTTTTGGTTTCAGGCCTCGTAAACCCGGCGCACTGACCGTCTGTTTGGCTTTGGAGATGTCCTCCATCTGAACGTGAAGGTCCTCGATCTCCACCTCCATCGACTTACGAGCTTTGACCGCCGCGGCGCACGTGAACTCCGACTCCTCCAACTGAAAACCGACAGAGACAGAGACAGACAGAGTGAGTCAGGAAAAGCAAAACGGGACTGTAAAAGCAGACTGTAGAAACGGCATGACATGGATTTTTTTATTTTATACCAATATATACAATACCAGTCAAAAGTTTGGACTCATCCTCTTTTATTTAATTTTTTTTCATCACTTCTTTCTTAATTTTACATACATACAGAAGACATCAAATATATGAAGCAACATAGAGCATATGGAACTATTTAATAAAGACAAAAGTTAACTAAATTAAATATTTTTTGACAAGGCAAAGGGGCTAATTTGAAGATTTGGTTATAAAAAGTCCCTGCTTAGACTGCTGCCCCCGCGGCCCGGAAGAAAATGGATGGATGGATGGGTTATAAACTATATTTAAAAAAAAATATTGCTATACTAGAGTTAATTCACTTTTTTTTCTTTGCTACATAACAAAACAAAAAAATAAAAATTGAATGAGAGTCCAAACTTTCAGAACTCAGATATGTTAAAACTTTAACACCGACCGTGAGTTGTGAACCTGTTTTTTTGAGCTATGTACCTTTTTTCTTTTTTGAGTTGTGTACCAATTGTTGTTTTTTTTTGAGCTGTTAACCTGTTTTTTCTTTTTTTTGAGTTGTGTACCAGTTTTTTTTTAACTGTGTACGTGGTTTTTGAGTTGAGTACCTGTTTTTATTATTATTATTATTTTTTTAGCTGTGTACCTTTTTTTTTTGAGTTGTGTACCAATTTTATTTTTATTTTTTTTGAGCTGTGTACCAGTTTTTTTTGTTTGTTTGTTTTGTTTTGTTTGAGTTGTGTACCTGTTTTTTTTTTAGCTGTGTACCTGGTTTTTGAGTTGAGTACCTGTTTTTATAATTATTATTTTTTTTTAGCTGTGTACCTTTTTCTTTTTTGAGTTGTTTACCAATTTTGGGTTTTTTTGAGCTGTGTACCAGTTTTATTTATTTATTTATTTTTTTTTAGCTGTGTACATGTTTTGGGTTTTTTTTGTATTTTTTAAGCTGTGTATGTACCTGTTTTTTTTTTTTTTGGTTTTTTTAAGCTGTGTACGTGTTTTTTTTTTAGCTGTGTACCTGGTTTTTAAGCTGTGTACCTGTTTTTTTTTTGTTGTTGTTTTTTTTTTTGAGTTGTGTACCTGATTTTTGAGCTGTGCGATCTCCCTTTTGCTCGGGGCGTTGTTCTTGATGTGGTCCAACATGATCTGAGCGTCGGCCAGAAGGGCTTTGGTCCTCTTCAGGTCTTTCCTCAGACGCTTCTCTGTCTCCACGTCTCCACCACGAACCTGCGAACAAAACAAAAACAAAAAATATACGTGATAAGAGAAAAGAGAAAAGAAGAGTCACTACTGTAGACCAGAGCCACAATCTCCAACTCGGCTCAATAATCCAGCAAAAAATACATCATCTTTGCACAGTTTTCCTTATAAAATCCTGTAAATAACTTGCTATTTTTATTGCTACATATTTTTTTAAGTTTTATTAACATTTTCACTCCTCACAGTTAAAATATTAAACTCCGTGCAGTCTGTACCTGGTCCTGCGCCGAGAGCAGTTTCGACTCCAGATCTCTCTTCTCCCTCAGAACCTTCTGTTTCTCATCGTACTCCTCCTCCAGCTGCAGCTCCATTTGTTTCAACTGAAAAAAAAAAAAAACAACAAGGCAAAAACAGACATCAGTCATTGGTTCGTGTTTTTAAGGATTTAAAAGTGAGTATGGTAAGTAAAGTTTATTTATATAGAGTTTTTCCACAGACACAGGTCACAAAGCGCTTCAGATAAAAACAGCAGAAGATACATTCATAATAAAATCACTCATAGCAGCTCGAAATCTGAGGGGGCGAGAATGTTTGCTCAAAGAGAAACGTTTTTTATTGCTTTTTAAAGCCATCGGGAGCTACCTGTAGCTCTCCAGCCGCTTCCAAGTAGCTCGCCAAAGGATTTCGGAATCATACCACTGTGCTGAATAACAAAAATCTGGTTAATTAAATGCCCATTACCATAGTAAATGTGTAATTTTGAAGCTAAACTTTGCGTCTCGTTCTTTCTGAAACAAATTGCTCCAAAGCGCTGCCTCGGAGCTCGTCTCGCAGCAGCCGCTCACGTGACCAAAGTGTCGAAGTGTGGGTCCCTCCCCCGACTGCTTCGCTCTGCGTGTCAGTCGCTTCAGTGTATCGAAGCGTTTCATTGGCTCGGTGAATGTTCCGCTCTGCGATTGGTTCAGCGCACTTCTGTGGTTTGACGAGCGCTAAACTGCTACAGTATAAAAGATGCACCAATATTTCTTTAAAATGTTGGGTAGTGAGGAGGAGTGTCGTGTGACGATAGTGGTGATTTTGGCGACTTTTGGGATTTGTTTCATTTTCGATGGCATCTACAAGTGGAAGAAAAGCGATCCATGGTTTGGGATCACTTTGGTCTAATTCCACCTAACAAGATAACACCTATTTTCTTATTTACAGCTGCTATTTATGTTGCTCTTTACATATTATTTTAAATCATCATCATTATTGTTGACCATAGCCAACAATGGTCATGAGCTCTGGGTAGTGACCGAAAGGACGAGATCGCGGATACAAGCGCTCGAAATGAGTTTCCTCCGCAGGGTGGCTGGGCGCTCCCTTAGAGACAGGGTGAGGAGCTCAGTCACACGGGAGGAGCTCGGAGTAGAGCCGCTGCTCCTCCACGTCGAGAGGAGCCGGTTGAGGCTTGGGCATCTGTTCCGGATGCCTCCTGGACCTCTCCCTCAGGAGGTGTTCCGGGCATGTCCCACCGGGAGGAAGCCCCGGGGAAGACCCAGGACACGCTGGAGGGACTATGTCTCTTGGCTGGCCTGGGAACGCCTCGGGGTCCCCCGGAGGAGCTGGAGGACGTGTCTGGGGTGAAGGAAGTTTGGGAGTCCCTGCTTAGGCTGCTGCCCCCGCGACCCGGCCCCGGATAAGCGGAAGAAAATGGATGGATGGATGGATCATTATTGTTGTTGTTGGTACGGTGTCGCTCTGCACACAAGTACTGTCTTACACTAACAATACTTCATCGATGCTGAGACACCTGCGAGCCAATGGTTAAATTTGTCCACTAGAGGTCAGTGTTTCTCAAAGGCCTCAGACACGTCCAACCATTTGAGACAATATTGCGACTGAGGTGTCAATGCTTCACGAGGCTCCACTCACCCATCACTAACTATACCCCAAGGCTTGCCCTCTTTCTTATAATCGTCTCAATTTCTTTTTGTGCCTACGCTCAGTTTCATTTCTCTCCAGCGACTAGGTCGGGAATCGGAATACACTAGACGGTTCGCAAAATTCCCAGAAGTGCGAGTTCGGACACGAGCCAAACAGCGAAGAGACAGACATTCTGTGTTGGCAACGATTCCCGAGATCGAGGATTTAAAGCCGGAACAAAGAGAATGTTCAACGAGAAAATTCAACATTATTGATATTGCGCCTTCAATCCAGTGCGATTTATAGTCCGAAAAATACGGTACTCTGGAAATGTTACATAGTGCCCCTTTAAATGCATCTTTCTGGGGAAAATTGAGGCACACGTTTTTGTCTAAAAGCTCCAAAGGTCAAGTCATCGTCTCACATCCGTCTGTATTAATAAGTGAAGATCAAATTGTCTCTTCGTTTTTGCCGGGAGTTTCAGTTTTATTTTTTAATGTACGAGACGTATTTATATCCTTGTCCACTTTAATCTATAAAATAGTTGTAGCGACAAAACAACCCAAGTCATTAAACCCTCGTCCCATCTGTCTCCGTCTTCATTTGTTTAGCTTAATGCTTTATGTAAATGCCAGAGGAACGGCCGAGTCAGCACAGGCGCGAGTGGAAGTGCGCCGAAGCTAATTACACTGGGGCTAATGAGGCTGGAAAAAAACAATACAAAAGCACTATCGTCTTAATGGGAATACGGGCTAATGCTAAAGCGGCGCCAACGCTGCACTATCCGAACCGGCCGAGTCACATGACCTCGATCGGCCAATAGCATCGCTGACGGGAGAGGTGCAAAGGTCAGAGTAAGGTTATGTTTACTAATTACATCATAAATCACGAGTGGAATTTGGGCGATTTGTCATTTAAAAACAACAACGGTGGAAGGGCACTTGACAAAGCAATTCTGGCCGCGCCGCCTACGCTCAAACCAACGTGTGAGAGTAAAAAAAAGTAACACGACAAAAACCTTTTATTTTAACTTTTCTCAGAATTGAATGGGAATTTGATATTTCAGTCTTGCACAAAACAATAAAAACAACTGAACTAAATATTCTCAGTGCAAGATTGAGAAGATAGCATCGACTATTGTGTAGGGATGTAACAATAACTGAAATATCGTGATATCGTATCGTCAAAAGTCTCACAATATATCGAATTACAAGTTCCTTTGCTTAAACACATGGTTTTACAGTAGGAACAGCTTATGAACATCGGAAACTACATATCCCATGATTCATTTCAGCGCAGACAACATGAAGAAGAAGAAAGAAGATTGAATTCTTGGGATAATACATAATGCATTCCAAATTTCAGACTTCCGGTCATCGCGCAATGCATACTGGGAAGGATCCTCAGAAGAAGTGAGCATCAAACCGCCATGTTTGTTTTCCCAGTGGGATGTGTCTATTGTCAAAGTCGATCTTTTCAAGTCTTTTGAACCATATCGCTTTTGTTTCTGGTTCTGATATTGTCATATTTTAGTTTTGGGATTCGGACATTGTTAATTGTTGTGGTTGTTGGATCCTAACAGCGGAAAACGGGCTTTGGAAGTTTGCGAACTCAGGGAATCAGATGTGTGTGACTGCAAACCTCCGTTCAAACTGTTTCCCTTCCCAACGGAATTGAAAAATAGTGAAAGGCGAAGGCGATGGGCAGAATTCAAACATTTGGCTGCCTAAGAAATCATCCCGAGTTTACAGCAAACATTTTGTATGTGGAGCGCCAACAAAACAAAATCCCGTTTGTTAATGGAGAAATACAGAAGACAAACAGACTGAGCTGCACTTTCTTGTTCTTGTGGTTTTACAGCAACATCACGTCTTGGTCTCTTTGCAGTGGAAGGTGTTTCTTGGTGAACAGTTGGTGCCTTTCGCTTTGGCGTTGACGTTTTAAATTTATAACCAAGGTTGAGGGAGGGATCGGGGTTTTGCTTTGATGGCTCCACGTACAAAATGTTCGCTGCAAAGTTGGGAGGTAAAGGTATCAAGGTCAAGGTATTTTAAAAGCAAAAAAGTGTCCCATCCAATTATATCAGCCTCTTCAAAATATCGCAATAAATATTGTACCGTGAGATTTGGATATCGTTACACCCCTATTACTGTGTAACTGAAAACTTGGTCAAAATGGGTCATTAAAATATTATCATTCTAATTAAAATTTTAAATTGAGAAAATATAAATGAAATTAGTTTTTACACTGATTTACATTTTAACATTATTATTATTTACATATACCTTTAAAAAAAAAAAAGTATAATAGCTTTGATCCACTCAAAAAAATTTAAGTAAAAAATTAAATTAAATTAAACTTTGAAAACACATTAGGAGCGAGCCATGACATTGTCAAACATGTTACAGAAGCATGTGAGGGACACACAAGCTACTGAGAAGTATTTTGAGTTACAGAAATTACATTTTGGATAAGGGGACTTGCCTGTCCACATCATTATTTTGTTCCTCAGACATTGTCCTGTCTATATTTGTATAGATCCAACATGTTTTTGTCCACATTGAGATCTGAAGTGTTTTCAAAGTGTTCCTTTAATTTTTTTGAGGAGTATATATTAAAATACTACAATAAGACAGGGTAATATTAAAGAAAGTGCATTTTGTCTATGGCTACATTCAGACTGCAGCCTGAAGTGACTCAAATCAGATTTTTTCACCCTTATGCGACCTGTATCTGATCTTTTAATGACAGTTTGAACGAAGCAGCTCAGATTTTTTCAAATGTGACCCAGGCCACTTGGATATGTGCTCCTAAAAAAAACAATACATATAAAATATTTTGACATGCAACTTGCGTCTGAACGGTCAGGTCACATTCATCCCACCTACACGTCAGGCTCGGAGTCTCGTTAAAGGGGAAAGCGAGGTTAGCCAGTTCATTAATATTTGGGGGGGATCACTCTTTTCAGGCCAAATTGGAGTGGTTTTATCGGAACCGGGCGTTTTTTGAAATGATTGTCAAAGAAATGTCCGAGCACGTCTACAGGTCGTCCTGGCTCCAATGTCAACAAAAAATAAAGAGCCTGTGAGTCAAATACAAGGAGGCTAAAGACTCAAACAAACGAAGCGGCTGTGGACGTGTAACTTGCTCAATTAAACAGAGAACTGGACCGGATTTTCAGAGACAAGCCCAGCGTTTAGACGACTTTCGTAAACACTGAGCACGCTCGCTGCTTGTGACGTCGTTGTGTCCTCCAATGTGCATGTGGGACACTTTTGGGACATTTAAAGTTCACACTGGAGATCACATACAAGTCACGTGTAACTGGAAATGTGAACGACCTCACAAAAAAAATCGAACTTCACAAAAAAATACGAATTGAGCATTAAGCCCTGCAGTCTGAACGTGGCCTATTTGAGGCTTAGTACATCTTCCATATTTCTACTTGTTGTTATAGGTCATCCAATATAAACGAAGGTCGTCAAAAGTCGAAAATCAGATAAAAATCAGAATAAATGAAAATTAAAACTCAAAAGTAGATACTGATCATGCACATAGACCACACGGTAACACAAAATAACCAATGTTTTGTTCGGAAATGGAGTGTTTTTTTTTATTTTTTATTATGATGCATCGATGTCGGTATCAGGTCTATTTTTCTTCTTACTGAAATCGAGTTTGAAATGTTTGTGTTGTGTCCAGATCCTACTAGTTCTAATCCATCACAGTGGCTCTGACCTTTTTGCTGCAGGACTGTCGTATCTCCTCCACCTCGTCGTCTTTGTTCTCGATGTCTTTGGAGTGAGTTTGTCTGAGTCGCTCCATCTCCATCTCCAGGCGAAGTTTAGCCTGAAACACGACGAGCGCTTTTAGTTTTTCACTTAAATACATTTACAGATACTGAGATTTAAGTCCTCTGCTCCATCTGAACCTCTCCTCTGGTCCCTCTGATCTTCTTCTTTCATCTTTTGCTCCTCTATTCAATCTGACCCTCTCCTCTGCTCCATCTGACCTTCTCTTCTCATCCTCTGCTCCATCTGATCCTCTCCTCTACTCCTCTGCTCCATCTGATCCTCTCTTCTCATCTTCTTCATTCGACCTTCAGCTCTCATCCTCTGCTCCATCTGACCTTCTCCTTTGCTCCTTCTGACCCTCTTCTCTGCATTCTCTGCTCCATTTGACCTTCTCTTCTCATCCTCTGCTCCATGTGACCCTCTCCTTTGCTCCTCTGACCTTCTCCTCTCATCCTCTGCTTCATCCACGCCTCTCCTCTCATCCTCTGCTCCTTCTGACCTTCTCCTCTCATCTTCTGCTTCATCTGACTCTCTCCTCTCATCCTCTGCTTCATCTCACCCTCTCCATACATCCTCTGCTCCATCCGACCTTCTCCTTTGCTCCTCTACTTCATCTGATCCTCTCCCCTGCATCCTTTCCTCCATCTGATCCTCTCCTCTCATCCTCTGCTCCATCTGACCCTCTTCTCTACATCCTTTGCTCCTCTGACCTTCTCCTCTCATCCTCCGCTCCGTCTGGCCCTTTCCCCTGCTTCATCTGACCTTCTCCTCCACTTCATCTGACCCTTTCCACTCATTCTCTGCTCCATCTGACCCTCTCCTCTCATCTTCTGCTTGATCTGATCCTCTCTCTCTGGATCCTCTGCTCCATTTGTCCTTCTCCTCTGCTCTTCTGCTTCATCTGACCCTCTCCTCTGCTGCTTCTGAGCCTCTTCTTTGCTCCATCTGACCTTCGCCTCTACATCCTTTGCTCCATCTGACCTTCTCCTCTAATCCTCTGCTCCATCTGACCTTCTCCTCTAATCCTCTGCTCCATCTGACCTTCTCCTCTAATCCTCTGCTCCATCTGACCTTCTCCTCTAATCCTCTGCTCCATCTGACCTTCTCCTCTAATCCTCTGCTCCATCTGACCTTCTCCTCTAATCCTCTGCTCCATCTGACCTTCTCCTCTAATCCTCTGCTCCACCTGACCCTCTCCTCTGCTTCTTCTGAGCGTCTCCTTTGCTCCTCTGACCCTCTCCGTTCATCCTCTGCTTCATCTGACCTCCTCCTCTCATCCTTTTCTCCTCTCCTCTTCATATATTCACTCTCCCTTCCTCTGCACCATATATTCTCTCTCACACACTCTTCTGTAAAACATATTCTAAAACATATTGCTACACTCCAGTTTCAACAGCACTACAACTCCCAGAAGCCTTCGCTGTAAAGTGAAGATGTGATCATTAGCAGGTTTTGTACAATATGGCAGCAGCAGGGGGTTCAGGTAATGTGGTCCCTGGTGCGTTTCTGTCGTGTAAGTGTGTCTCTATGCAAAGCTTTTGTCTCTTATGGGGAAATGAAACAAGATTTTGAGATTCTAATAAAAAAAACTCTTGTTAGTCGAAAAATAGGTCTCCATTTTTATCAGTTTTCCTTATAAAGCGGTTGGATTTCACACTTTCAGTAGCATATCTTAAAACTGAAAATACAACTCTTTGCCTAAACCGCAAAACAGACAGTAAAAACTCAATGTTGGCTCCGTTATACCAGTTTTCTAGGTCGTGAAAAACGCCAGAAAATACTTAAAGGTTGTATAGAGGATTTTCCAAGGAACGAGAAATCCAGCGACTGTTTGTCCTTTTTCAAATGTTGCGCATGCGTGAAACCACCCCCCCTCCCCTACAGCTCCTACGTAGAAACGCCTCCTCCGGCCTCCTCTTTACGCCAGAAACAGGTTTGTTTACAGCCGGTGAGCTGCACATGACTTGTAAACAACTAACTACAGTGTTGGTTAGGCAAGACGGAGAAGTGAGGAGCGGGGGGAGCGGGTGCGCGGACATTTCGTTCGCGGACGAGAAGTGAGGAGCAGGGAGAAGAGCGGAGCAGGGAGAGGAGAGAGGAGAGGGGAGCGGAGATTCCGTGCCCGGAGAAGTGAGGAGCGGGGGGAGCGGATGCGCGGACATTTAGTTCGCGGACGAGAAGAGCGGAGCAGGGAGAGAGGAGAGGAGAGGAGAGAGGAGAGGGGAGGGGGTGCGCGGAGATTCCGTGCCCGGAGAAGTGAGGAGCAGGGGGAAGAGCGGATCGGGCAGCGGGGAGAGGAGCAGGAAAGGGGTGCAGAGAAGGTTGCGCGGAGATTCAGTGCGAATGAACTAACTACAACACGCAGCAGCAAGCGGACTCTTTCTTTGCCTTGAAAATTACGTTTTCAGACATAGGATATCGCTTTCGTGTCCTGAAAAACGTTTGTTTAGCTCTTGGAAATAAAGTACGTTTTCATAATAAGCAGAAGTGACCTGTCCAGGAGTAATTTGGCGACCAATGCGTCAGACTTTAGACCCTGCGTCTGCTTCAGTCGCGCCATCGCTGGAATGAATCTTCAAGAATCACCTTAGTTTAGCTTCGCTGCTTTTCCCCTTGTCTTCTTCTTTCAGCGACCTCAAAAACGGACTTTCTTTTGCGGCGAACTGCTCCTGGATTCTTGTCGCCATTGCAACAAACTTTGTGCGAACTGCGAGGAAGATATAGGTCAAAAAAAGCCGCTAAGAACTGTTGCGTTGGTGGAGTAAACAGCGTCTGTGCGTCTTGCGTCTGTGGACTGCGTGACAGACGTACGTAAACCACGTACCGGCGGCGCGCAGGCAAGTCAGTTACGCTAGAAACGTAGGGAGTTTGATTGACAGCCTGTCAGCTCACAGATAACGAGGCAGTGTCGTTATCTATTGGCAAATGTTTAGCCCCACCACGTCCAGAGTTGATGAATTTTTATTCTCTTTTTTTTGGTCATCATAATTACAAGGCTACTGCACCTCTATAATGCTATCATTGACAACTTGAAACAAAAACAAACAAAAAAAAATCCTCCATACAACCTTTAAACGATACGAAAACGGTTTGATTATTTTTGGTTTCGTACCTGCTCTAACATCTGGATGGTGCCGGCCTGTTCGTCCAGTTCTTCTTCCTGGTCTTTGACTTTGGCCTCCAAGTCTCTCAGCTGTTTCTTCACCTAAAACAAAAGCAAAATGTCAAATATAAAACAGTTTACACCATTTTAATATTAAATGGAAAATGTATTAAAGTGTTTTTAAAGGCTTTAAAGCTGTAAAAGTGTGTTAGACTATTAATTTCAATAAAAACAATAAAAAAAAAAAAATAGAAAGACATTTTTAACTTTCTACATTTCTAAATAAGACATTTTATTCTTCTTCTTTTCTTATTTTTGTGATATTAGAGAGAGTACAAACATTAAAAGACATTAGACATTTGGACGTCTGAGTGGGTAAGTAATAAAACAGAAGAGATGAAAGAGAGTAAACCAAAACAAAACAAAAAAATAAGAAAAAGGAGGAAAAAAATTATTATTCTTGTACTTGATGATTCTTTTTTTTCTCCCTTTCTTTTTTTTCTTTCTGTGTTCCTTCTCCTTCCTGTCTTATCCTTTCTTTACCCCTTTGTTCCTTTAATTACGTATTTATTAATGTATTTATTTTAATTAATGTATGTATTTATTTTAATTAATTTATTTAAATTTATTTTATTTCAATTCTATTTTATTTTATTTATTCATTTTTTTCTGCCAGATAGTGTCAGATGTTTTATTAAAATTTTGCTTTTTAGTTGGACATGGTCAGGAGATGTAATTATTAATAATAATTTTCTTTTTTTCTCCCTTTCTTTTCTTTCTTTGTGTTCCTTCTTCTTCCTCTGCTCTCCTTTCATCATTACCCCTTTGTTCCTTTAATTATGTATTTAGTCATTTTACTTTATAATTTGAATTAATGTATGTATTTATTTTAATTTATTTTATTTTAATTTATTTTATTTCAATTATTTTTATTTTATTTTATTTATTCCACTTTTTTTTTGTTTTTTTTATTAAACTTTTTTTTTTTTAGTTGGAGATGTAACATAAGAAGAGGTAAATCCATTGTAAACAGCAGCCAAACACAATCTAATTCACACAATAGTTATGATTTCACAAATTTAAAAACATATTTGTAAATTGTCTCAGTTTTTTTAGATGGAATTTTAGGTTTGATGAGGAAACTCGGCTTGATTTCCTGTAATATATGTACTTTTGTTATCAAATTTTCTTCCCAAACCGGCACTAAACTCACATAAAACTAAACAAATATTGACCACAGGTACAGTCCCGCCAAAGTAAAACCTGTCACTTTAAAGCTCAGTGTGTAACTTTTTCAGACCTTGGCGAGTGAAGCTTCGTCTTTGGTCTCCTGAGAGTTGAGGTCGAGCAGCTCCGCCTCCAGTTGGTCCAGTTTGAGGTTCACGGCGCACAGCTCCAGATCTTTGTCCTGTTAAAATAAAACAAATATGTGAGATTAGAGCTCAAACTAATGAGAATTTCTGGAAATATGTTTTGTTTTTTAATTAATCAGTGGGTCAATTTACTGTTTTTGAAAGAAAAATTCGATATAAACTTTGCAGAACACAAACGCTGAAGCTTTAAACTCACAAAAATCACGTCTTTGCGGTTGAAATCACTTTAATTTATTTCTGCTGAAAGACAAAACCTTGAACTCTGTGCCAGGTTTAGTTTCCTGTGAATAGGCCGAGTAAATGGAACAGAACGAACGAGCGGTGAACCGGGTCAAAACATCTGCAGTGTGTGAGTTTTACCGTCTTAAAATCAGCTAGTTTGCAGTGGTCATTTCTTACTTTACTGCAGTGAGTTTAAAAGTGCATTTGACGACTTTCAGAGACCAGAGCTGTAAGTGTAGACGGTCACGGTAAAGCTCTCCAGTCCAATCCAATCCAACTTTATTTGTGTAGCACTTTTTACCAACGCAAAGACTCCAAAGTGCTGCACAGACTGGGCAAGTCCGTGTGTCATTCGTTCATTCGTTGTGTTTTTTTTTCAAAATAAAACCAAAAATAAGAAAATAAAAAAAAAAAAAAACTTTCTTCATTATTTGTCTCTGAAACCAAAATTTTTAAAAAGTAATAATGGCCATTTCCCGTTTCTGTGACTTAAACTGCGATGTCGGACTTTTGCGGCACATACGGACTGAACCAGGACTAAACCTGGACTAAACTAGGAACTAAAACAGGTCTAATCCAGGTCTAAACCAGTCTCACTTCCTGGTCTGGTCCTGGTCTTAGTCCTGGTCTGATCCTGGTCTGATCCTGGTCTCAGTCCTAAACCAAGACTAAACCAGAAGTAAATCAGGACTAAACCAGGACTAAACCAGGAGTGTCAGGATGGGCCAGAGGTGCACCTGCGTAGACTGTCACGTGATCAGGAAACCAGGACCAGACTAACACTAAACTAGGACTAATACAGGTCTAATCCAGGTCTAAACCAGTCTCACTTCCAAGTCTGGTCCTGGTCTTAGTCCTGGTCTGAACCAGGACTAAGACCAGGACTGAACCAGGACTAAACCAGGACTAAACCAAGGACTGAGATCAGGCTTGAAAAAAATTTAGACCTGGTTTAGAGCTGGTTTAGTCCTGTTTTAGTCCTGGTTCAGTCCGGCATCGCAGTTTAAGTCACGGAAACGGGAAACGTCCGTTATCCGTTTTTTTTCCCCATTATTCATTTAAACACAAAATCGAAAACAGAAAAACAAATTATCATCCATTTTTTTCTTTTTGATTTTGGAGACAAATAATGAATAAAATAGTTGTTTTTACATTTTCTTAATTTTGGTTTTATTTTTGAAAAAACGAATGAACGAATATACATGGATTTAGGCGCAATATAAATAATATATAAAATAAATAACATATTAAAGAAAATAAAGCATAAAACAAAGAAAAAAAGCAAGTCAATAAAATTAGCAAATAAAGTAGCAAATAAAATCAATAAAAGACAGTCAGAGGAAATCACAATTCTCATGTCATGTTAAAAGCCGGTGAGTAAAAGTGTGTTTTTAAATGAGACTTAATGAGACTTTAAATGAGACTCCCCCATTACATCTCCATAGATATTAAACAAGTGGGGTCGTCTCTCCACAGATCTGACCTGTAACTTGGTCTGGTTTGCTCTCCAAGAAGATAGAAATGCTTAATACCATACTGTGGAACATTCCAGACAAAGCAATAACGTTTTTAAGCCCCAAAAATGCCGTTACTGTCTAAACAAAAGGCACTTCCGATAAAAATATTTTGTCATTTTTACCCGGTGTTTATCCTTTGTGGACCTTGTTTGTTGGATATTTGCTGATGGGGCAGATTTATGAAGCTGGTGGAGAAGTTACAGGTCAGATCTGCGGAGCGGCGACCCCGCTCACAGTCAAAATGTCTGTTTTTCTAGGTATTTTCGAGCTATAAAATCACCTGTAATCAATGTTGTGGAGTAACAGATTACATGTACCAGAGTTACATAATCAGAGTATAAATTATGAGTAACTGTATTCAGTTACAGTTACTGTTTGAGTGAGTGGTAATTGGATTACAGTTACTTTGTTGAAATAAATGGATTACACAGAGGGATTTTACTGTTTTCACATTTTGGGCTAAATCCCTTTTTAATTAATTATTTATTTATTTTTTTCTAATTCCACTCATTGCTGGACACTTAACCAGGACTAAAACCAGGTCTAAACCAGGACTAAAACCAGGTCTAAACCAGGACTAAATCAGGATTGAACCAGGACTAAACCCAGGTCTAAACCAGGACTAAAACCAGGTCTAAACCAGGACTAAATCAGGATTGAACCAGGACTGAACCCAGGTCTAAAACCAGGTCTAAAACCAGGTCTAAACCAGGACTAAATCAGGATTGAACCAGGACTGAACCCAGGTCTAAACCAGGTCTAAAACCAGGTCTAAAACCAGGTCTAAACTAGATCTAAACTAGATCTAAACCAGGTCTAAACCAGAACTAAATCAGGATTGAACCAGGACTAAACCCAGGTCTAAAACCAGGTCTAAAACTAGGTCTAAACTGGATCTAAAACCAGGTCTAAAACCAGGTCTAAACCAGGATCTAAAACCAGGTCTAAACCAGGATTAAACCAGGTCTAAACCAGGATTAAACCAGGTCTAAACGAGATCTAAAACCAGGTCTAAAACCAGGTCTAAAACCAGGTCTAAAACCAGGTCTAAAACCAGGTCTAAACCAGGTCTAAACCAGGTCTAAACTAGATCTAAACCAGGTCTAAAACCAGGTCTAAAACCAGGTCTAAAACCAGGTCTAAACCAGATCTAAACCAGGTCTAAAACCAGGTCTAAAACCAGGTCTAAAACCAGGTCTAAACTAAACCAGTCTAAACCAGGTCTAAACCAGGTCTAAAACAGGACGAAACAGGATATTCTCTCTCAATAACATTTTTAATACGGTTAAGGAAAGTCTGGGCTTTTTTATTTTCTTTTAGCAGATAAAACATCTTATTTACGATTTCCTCGTCTTTGTTTCTCTACAGCAAATCAAGTAATCCAAAGTATTCAGATTACATTACTCACTTTAAGTAATTTAATGGATTCTGTTACAAACTACATTTTGGGGTGAGTAATCTGTAATCTGTAGGAGAATACATTTTAAAAGTCACCTTCCCAACACTGCCTGTAATTGAATAAATGTAAAGTAGAGCTGTTTAAAGTCACACTGTGGAACATTCCAAACAGAAAATACATCTCTATAGACATTAAACAGGTCTACATTATTTTTTTTCCACAAATCTGACCTGTAACTTGGTCTCCGTGAAGATAGAAATGCTTAAAGCCACACTGTGAAACATTTCAGACAATAACAGGCAGTAACATCTCCACGGAGAAAAGCGTCTTGACAGTCCCTCCGCCGGAAAAGTCACACAGAATGCACCTTTAACGTCAAAATAAATCCGTTTTTAGACAGAGTGACACCCACCTCCAGCTGTTGGCGTAGACTGAAAACTTCCCCTGACAGCATGTCCTTCTCTCTGGCCAGTTTGTCCCGAAGACTCCTCTCCCGAGACGCTTCCTCCTGCGCCAAACTCAACTCGCTGTCAAACCTGGAGACAACACGTCCGCGCCGTCAAAAACACACTCCAAACTATTCCGCGGAAAAGAATAAAAAGTGCTAAAACGGAAAAAAAAAACTAAATCTAGAACTTATGTGCAGAGTAAGCTCCATACCGGGTCCCTGTGTTCGCTGGTTCACATCTTTAGGTTGAAAATGCAAAGTTGCTCAATACATTCCCGTGAGTCTTAACCTTTAAGCTAATTCAGACTTTGAGCTCCTGTAAGAGCTCGATCACTGCGCCAAAGACGGGCTGCTGCACTTTTTACGAGGCATTAATGCAAAGGCGTCGCATATTTAGATCACCGTGTTATTGGGATGTAACAATAACCAAAATATCGTGATATCGTATCGTCAAAGTTTTCACAATAATATCGAATTACAAGTCTCTTTGCTTAAATCAAGAGTTATGGTGCAGCAATAGATAAAAAAGACCGAGGGAACTACATAGACCACAGGTGTCAAACATACGGCCCAGGGGCCAGATCCGGCCCTCCAAGACCTTTAGTCTGGCCCTCGGCTGATTTTCCACTAAAATATTTTTATTATATTTTCTATTAAAATATTGTTAATTTTCTGTGGTGTTTATCACAGCAGCGTCTCCAGCGTCTCTGTACGTGGCCCCTCCCACCAGAGCAGCACAAATGAAGACTTGTCTCTTTCCAAACGCTCTTAAAGGACGATCGTTTTGACTGTTGACCGTGACACCCTCATCAGAAAAATGTCCAACATGAGAAAAGTGGAGCCGAGTGCAGGATTTTACAACAAAAATGTACTAATTCCTATTTCTACAAGTTAATTTTAAACAAGTTAATTTTAAAACATTGTGTTGAAACTGTATTTTTCTTAAAGTTTCAGGTTGTTCATAATATTATAATATTTTGTAAAAGAAAGAGTTCATCAATTAAAAAAAGATTTCTGTTGTAGATTTGTGTTTCTCTACACAAATATTTGAACTTATTGTTATTTTTGGGGTTTATATGACATGAGTTTTCTGATCCGGCCCCTTTGGGATCAAAGTCGGTTGGATACAGCCCCCGGACCAAAATGAGTTTGACACCACTGACATAGACCATGATCCTTTGCTCCATTTCAGTGCAGACTACAAGAAGAAATAACAGCTTTAAACTGTTTTAAGTCTTAGTTCTTTGGATTAAGTCTTGTCAAGGCGTTTTAAGAGGAAAAAGTAGTTGCCTCCACAAAATATAGCGATAAATATCTCGTACGGTGAGATGCATATCGTGAAAATATCGTATCGAGAGACTTGGATATCGTTACACCCATAGTGTTACGTTTTTTTGTTTTGAAAATGCTGCAGAGGTGGGACAAAGTCTTTGTTTTGCAAGTCTCAAGTAAGTTTCAAGTCTTTCACCTCAAGTCCAAGTCGAGTCTCGAGTCACAGGCCGCTAAGTACCAAATACAGCTTAGATTTTTGCAATTTATTTGACTTTTAAGATAAATTGTACTTAAAAAACGTAGTATATTTATATATGAGTATTTATAAAGTACATAAGAGTTGTAGAAATTGATTTAGTTATTTTTTCCTTTTTAAATGTGTGAATCATTAAGGTCAGAATAGAAAGAATTCTGATTTACAAGTGCTTCAGGTCTTCTCAAGTCACAGGCCTCAAGTCCGAATCAAGCCCCAAGTCAATGACCTTCAAGTCGAGTCCGGAGTCTTTGTCCATTTTATCAAGTCAAGTCTCAAGTCCTAAAAATAGTGACTCAAGTCTGACTGGAGAGCACTATAACAAATAGGGTTGTGCAAAAATATTGAAATAGCGATATATCGTATAGCTTAATGTGATGATACAGTATCGATATCGTGGGCTGCTGTATCGATATATCGCCAGGAGTATTTTTTCTGGTGTATTTTACTAAATTATTTTGTTACAGTGCTACAGTTTTGTTGTTTGTTCAGAGGAAGGAAACTCGTTTATGTGACACATTTGACATTTTCACTGTTTTGATGATTAAAATGTTTGTGTGTGTTGTGTTTCTTTGCACAACAAGTGGTTTAACAAAAATTTTTAGTATCCTTTATTTTTTATTGTGCCGTATCGAATCGATTTGAAATATATATATAAGTAGTCAGAATTTTAGATTTAAAAGTGCTTCAAGTCTTCTCAAGTCACAGGCCTCAAGTCGAGTCGAGTCCCAAGTCTTTGTCCATTTTATCAAGTCAAGTCTCAAGTCCTGAAAATTTGTGACTCAAGTCTGACTCGAGTCCAAGTCCCCACCTCTGAAATTCACTGAAAACAACGCATTAACATGTTTTATAGAGCACAATCACAACTAGGGGTGTGTAAAAATATTGAAATATCCATATATCGTATCGTTTAATTTGATGATACAGTATCAATATCGTGGGCTGCTGTATCGATATATCGCCAAGAGTGTTTTTTAGGTATATTTTACAAATTATTTTGTGTAAGAGCTACAATTGTGTTGACATTTTCACTGTTTCAATGAGTAAAATGGGTGATTTTCATTTTAACTTTGCACAAACTTTTAGTATCACAGATCTGAACTATATCATATGGGACTGAAACTGCACTGTATCGTGGTCTATGTATCGAGGTATGTATCATATCAGTAACTTCTGAATGATCCCCAGCCCTAATCACAACAATCATAAATGTTAGTGCTGGTTCCGTACTTCCTCTGCTTCTTCTCCAGGTCGTGGTTGCGGCTCTGTTGTCCTTCCAGGTGCAGCTTCGTGTCCTGGAGCTCCGACGTCAGCTTCTGGGTTTTCTTCTTCAGCTGCTGGATGTTCCTCTGGGCCTCCTCGTTATCGGCCTGGAGGTCACTGATCTGAACACACACACACACACACACAAAACAACACATTATTATTTTATTATTATCATTTTTATTTATGTGTTTTTGCTTGTTGTTATTATTTTTATTGTCATGTGTGAGCTACTCTGTCCAAATAACTTCCCAATAAAGTTTGTCTAAGCTAAAGGTCAAGCTCTGAGCCGGTGTTAGTTCCAACAACAAAATGGACAACCGTATTTTTCAGACTGCATAATGAAGAAGAAAAAAAAACATATATAAGTCACATTGAACTATAAGTCACATTTTTTTGGGGGGGAAATTTATTCTCTAAAATCGGAGACCAAGGACAGACCTTTCAAAACTTCAAACCGTCGACCTTGGCTTGGAAGTCTGCCGGCAGTTTTTGGGATATCGTGGTCCGTGCTGATCGAGGGGCGGCTGCGTTGCATGAAGCGGTAACATCAAGAAGGTCTTACCGCAAAGTCATTTATATTCATCGCCTTGGCAACTACCTGGGCGTGAACCCATTTGTAAATTTGTTCCTCCAGCGACCTCTAAATTTTAGCCGGCGATTTGTTTTTTTTGTTTTCTTCGTAGTATTTAGAGAATCCTCTGCTTTTCGCCAGTCCTTTCTCGCTCACTCCAAACTTTATTTCTGCTGCTCAATTACAGTTTTTGGCAGAATATTCCATGAATTGCATCTTGTAATCTGCAGAATATTATTTTCTTTTTGGGGGCGTTTGTGTTCAGTCTATCAACTTATAAAGTCAAATGAGACAAAGTAAAGTGTAAATGATGTAGATAGAGAGAGAGAGTGTGTGTGTGTGTAAAGTGTGTAAAGTGTGTGAGTGTAAAGTGTGTTTGTAAAGTGTGTGTGTGTATGTGTGTTTGTAAAGTGTGTGTGTGTGTAAAGTGTGCATGTGAAGCGTGTGTGTGTGTAAAGTGTGAGTGTAATGTAAAGTGTGTGTGTGTGTGTGCAAAGTGTGTGTAAAATGAGTGTAAAGTGTGTGTGCGTGTGTGTGTGTGTGTGTGTGTGTGTGTGTGTGTGTATGTGTAAAGTGTGTGAGTGTAAAGTGTGTGAGTGTAAAGTTAGTGTGTGTAAAGTGTGAGTGTAAAGTGAGTGTGTTTGAAGTGTGAGTGTAAAGTTCTCGTAAAGTGAGTGTGTGTAAAGTGTGAATGTAGAGTGAGAGTGTAAAGTGAGTGTGTGTAAAGTGTAAGTGTAAAGTGTGTGTGTGAAGTTCTTGTAAAGTGAGTGTGTGTAAAGTGTGAGTGTAAAGTGAGTGTGTGTAAAGTTAGTGTGGGTAAAGTTAGTGTGTGTAAAGTGTGAGTGTAACGTGTGTGTGTGTAAAGTGTGTGTGCATAAAGAGTGTGTGTCTAAAGTGTGTGTGTAATCTGCAGAATACGATTTTCTTTTTGGGGCGTTTGTGCTCAGTCTTTCTCAGTTTTCTTTTCAAGATAATGTTTACATTTTTTGGAAAAATAGTAGCAGCAGATATTGACACACAAATCTAGAGCCTGTCAGTGTGAAAATAACAAACAAAAAATGTAAACTTATATATTTTAATATGTAAGTCGCACTTGAGTATAATCAGAATCACCCAAACCATGAAAAAAAGTGCGACTTATAGTCCTAAAAATACAGTACTCATTTTTCTACAACACTACACATTATATTTACGATTTTTATTACAAATTGACTGACCCTACACCAAAAAAGTGACACAATGAACCTTTAAACCTTGTAAGAACGCTGTCAAGTAACTTCTCCTTGTGGATCAATAAAGTTTGTCTAAGTCTAAGTCGCACATTGGTGGAGTTAGATTCGTTTATGACCCGTCGTTCTGAAAAACTCACCCTCCTCTCGAGTTGGCGCTTGCTCTGCTGCTCCACCTCCATCTTGTCCTCCAGCTCCTGTTGAAGACGTTTCTTTGTGAACTCGATTTCTCTGATGGCTCTTTCGTATTTCAGCCGCCACTCGCCTCCTGGGAGAAAAAAAAACAGCAACACAAAACGACAATCAGGGCTTTGTTCAGACTGTATCGTACTGCAAAAAGAACTGAAAAGAATTCCACCAGTGCAAAAAAAAGGTTCACACAATAAATATTAACCTCAAAAAGTGTATCGAACCATAAGTCAATGAAGACTCTTCTTACTGTACATCTGTCTTTATGTGTAGTTATTTATAGTCTGTGTGTGTAAAGTGTGTGTAAATGTGTAAAGTATGCGTGTGTAAAGTGTGTGTGTGTAAGTGTCCATGTTTAAAGTGTGTTTGTAAAGTGTGCGTGTTTAAAATGTGCATGTTTAAAGTGTGCGTGTGTAAAGTGCATGTGTAAAATATGCATGTGTAAAGTGTGCATCTGTGTGTAAAGTGTGTGTAAAGTAAAGCGTGTGTGTATAGCGTGTGTGTAAAGTGTGTGCAAGTGTCCATGTTTAAAGTGTGTGTTTAAGGTGTGTATGTTTAAAGTGCGTGTGTGTAAAGTGCGTGCCTGTAAAGTGTGCATGTGCGTGTGTGTAAAGTGTGAGCGTGTAAAGTGTGTGTAAAGTGCGTGTTTAAAGTGTGCATGTGTAAAGAGTGTGTGTGTAAAGCATGAAATGTGTTTAAAGTGTGACTGTGTAAAGTGTGTGTAAAGTGTGCATGTGTAAAGTGTGCATCTGTGTGTAAAGTGTGTGTAAAGTAAAGCGTGTGTGTAAAGTGTGTTAAGTAAATTGTGCGTGTGTAAAGTGTGTGTGTAAAGTGTGTGTACAAAGTGTGCATGTGTGTGTATAGTGTGTTTGTAAAGTGTGTGTGTCAAGTGTGCGTGTAAAGTGTACATGTCTAAAGTGTGCATGTTTAAAGTGTGCATGTGTGTAATGTAAAGTGTGCGTCTGTGTAAAGTGTATGTAAAGTGTGCGTGTTTAAAGTGTGTGTAAAGTGCTAGGACTGATCTGATTTTGTCGTTTTTCTCGTGTTTTCAGCCTTAAAACCTTCTTGACACTGTTTGCCAATGTGTGCATTGCGTCACCATCCCGCCATATACGTACATACAGAACACCCCACCCCCGGCACGATGTCACCACAAAGCATCGATTGCAAATGAAAAACGCTGTTAAAATTAAGATAGTAATTTAATTTTAACTACTACTACTTAAAATACAGCTGGAGGTCTTAATTTTGTAACTCAAACTGCTCCAAATGCAAAAATATTCAAAAAACTTTCCCCGACTCTGCGTGCACACCTCAGATCTCCAGACGTTTCTTTCGAGCCCGGACTAATGAAATACAGTAGCTCGTGTGTAATTTGTCAGAAATCAAATCTCTCTCTGGTTTCGGTCTTTGTTGGTCTAAGCGCCTCAGCTCCTCGCCAACGCAAAACCGCACAAAAGAATCAATACGCCATTCACTCAAACCCCTGCATACCGCGGGCCCAGTCCCTGCTTCCTCTCTCCCTCACCATTCCATTTTTCTTGCCTTTTGTCTCGTATTGATCAAATAGGGCCCCCATGTTGAGTACGTTGAGGTGTCTTTGTATCGGAGGCTTTGTATGGTGCAGTGGGAGACCATACCGCAAGAATTTCGCGTTTTTCAAACACGGATGTATTCAGTTCCGACTGCTTTTTTAGCTCGGAAAATAATGAAAAACTTCCAGCAAGAATGTCACCTCCGGTATTGGAACTTTTTAAAGCTGAAGTTTGGATTTAACGGTTAGAAAATCCAAAAATCCAAATAAAAAATGGTTTGTAGATGGTACAGAGGAGGGAGAGTGAATATAAGACCCGAACCTCTTACTTACTAATATTGCCTTTTTAATTATAAAGTGTCAGCTAATATTACTTTTCTTCAGTTAAAAACCTGGGAATATTTTTTATATAACCGTGCATAACTTTCCGACCATAAAAGATAAAGTGTACAGTACAGTAAAGAAAAGAGGAGAATGCACTTTTTTTTGTTTTGTGGGCAATAAGGATATTTTTGTTTATTTACACACTTGATATCTTTGCACTTTTGTAGCTCTAGCTGAGTGTAAAGTGCCTGTGTGTAAAGTGTATGTATGTAAAATGTGTGTGTGTGTGTAAAGTGTGTGTGTGTAAAACGTATGTCTGCAAAGTGTGTTTAAAGTGTGCGTATGATGCACGTGTGTATGTGTAAAGTGTGTTTAAAGTGTGTGTAAAGTATGCGTGTGTGTGTAAAGTGTGTGTGTCTAAAGTGTGCATGTAAAGTGTGCATGTGTGTCAAAAGTGGGCGTGTGTGTGTGTAAAGTGTGTGTGTGTAAGTAAAGTGTGTGTGTGTGTGTGTGTAAAGAGTGTGTGTCTAAAGTGTGCGTGTAAAGTGTGTATGTGTGTGTAAAGTGTGTGTGTGTCTAAAGTGTGCGTGTAAAATGTGCATGTGTGTGTATAAAGTGTGTGTAAAGTGTTTGTGCGTGTAAAGTGTGCGTTTGTAAATGGTCTGTGTGTGTAAAGTGTGTGTGTGTGTGTGTGTAAAGTGTGTGCAAAGTGTATGTGTGTAAAATGTGCGTGTGTAAAGTGTGTGTGTAAACTGTGTTTAAAGTGTGTTTAAAGTGTGCATGTGTATGTGTAAAGTGTGAGTGGGTGTGTCTGGATAGTATGTGTAAAGTGTGTGTGTAAAGTGTGTGTGTGTAAAGTGTGCGTGTAAAGTGCACTTGTGTGTGTGTAAAGTGTGCGTGTGGGTAGTGTGTGTAAAGTGTGCGTGTAAAGTGCACTTGTGTGTGTGTAAAGTGTGCGTGTGGATAGTGTGTGTAAAGTGTGTGTGTAAAGTGCACTTGTGTGTGTGTAAAGTGTGCTGAACACTGTCTACATCTCCAAGCCTCAAAATGCTCTGTTCCACCTTGTGATGTCATGAAGCTGTAGTTTTCAAGTTACCAGCTCCTTTTTACCTTTAGTTCAGCAGCGATCGGCAACTCCAGGTGTGAAATCATCCAAACGATTCCAGTCAACATGTATGGAGCACTTCCTGTATTTACCACATGACATCACAAGTTGGAACAGCGTGTTTTCCGGTTGAGAGAAGAACCGGGTGTGTGTGAGAGTTAAACACGCGTGAATGAAACAAACCACAACTCCGGGCATGTTTGTGACGAGGAAACGATGATAAAACACAGATCAGAAAATAGTCAAATCAAATCCTACGTGACGTTCCTTTAACATTTTCTACTCGCTGAAACAAAAACCGCTTGAGTAAATTACAGGTTTTCACTTTATAAACTCTCAAACTTCGTCCCATTGTTCTGTCAACCGCTCCATTGTCGTCTCTTCATTCTGGTGTCACTGTAAACAAACTTGCCCAACTTGTACGACCAACCGCGTTTTCAAACAGGTTTAAGAACTCAATTATGCTATTTTGTAAATTTTTATTTTTCCAAACCTGAATCGTCGTCATCGAGCTCCCCGTTCAGCTCGGAGGCTCTAATGAGACGCGCCTCCATCACCTCCATCTCCATGCTCTCCATCTGCTTCTTCATCTGCTCGAACTTGCCCTGAAACAAACAGGAAGCGTAACCATGGCGACTGTGAAACGATTGGCTGTGGAGGGAATGATGTCACACGTTTTGTTTTCCAAACTTTGCAACTCGACAGACCCTCTTGAAAACGAAATTAATCAGAATATTTGGTTTGTTAGGTTCAATTTTCTCAATATTATGAAACCTCCAAAAATAATTCAACTTGAAAATATTGTTTTATTGTTGGCAAATATTGTTTTCAAAAATTCAAATAACTCAAATGTTTTCTCTCTCTTCGGGTAAAAAATGTCAAATAATTTTCAGAACATGTTGTGTCAGTTTACAGTTGAAGGTTCACAGGTTTTACTCTAATTATTTCTGTTTGTAGAGGAAATTTTGTTAATAAAAATTTCTTTGCATTTTCATAATTCTGACTTTTGACATTGCTTTTTTAATTCCATTGCAATTAAAGGGGCTGTTTAAATTTTTTTTTTCCATATATTTAAGCAAATCTTATCTTACCCCAGATATATTTATTAGCTGCATCTAATTCTAAAGTGTTTTTATCGTCCGCGAACCAGAAAGTAACACTTGTGCACTGTTAAATTAACCTTTGTTAACATTATGGCCTCTGAAAGTTGTGAAATGTGCTTATAAACTCATCCCGGTGAATAATTAAGATGCTCTGAATGCATAAGGTAAATGAGGAATAACTTTGGACCACTTCAAACTGTTTAAAATTAATTTGTTCTGTTTTTCACGTTTTTAAAGAGACTAAAAATATAATATATATATAATATAATATAATATAATATAATATATAAGTTTATAATCTTGTAGCTCTAATATCCACTTTAAACAGGTGTCTAGATGGAACTGTATGTGCTGCCCTCTGCTGGCCACAGTGGGGAATGCATAATGTTGTAATGGCTTATTAGCAGCACAGATAATTCTAACATGACTTTGCATCAAAATAGACTAAAAAACTTTACTAAACGTTCACACTAAAAGTACCACAATGATAATAAAAAACACTCTTTCTTTAGACAATATAACGTGATTTTCAATATTAAATCACTTAAATTACTTTCTTTTCGATTCCCATGTGGTCTTATATCGGTATACTGTATTTTTTGGAGTAGAAGGCGCACTTAAAATCCTTTAATTTTCTCAAAAATTGACAGTGCGTCTTATAATCCGGTGCACCTTATGTATTAATTCTGGTTATGCTTATTGACCTTGAACCGATTTTATGTGGTACACAGCGCTCAAAAATCTGTCAAAATGTTTTAGTACGACTTTGGTAAGTTACGAAGCCACAACGTTTGATGGATTGTCGGAGCATTACAGCGACTGTAGTCAGGAGCTTCGCGGAGTCCGACAGAAGCTGATCAGCTACAACAAGCAACAAGGAGTGAGCCGTTTCTTCAGCGCTTACAGTAAATGCCAGAAGTGTCAAACTCAAATTCACAGAGGGCCAAAATTAAAAACGAAGTCGTGGGCCAAACTAAATATTTATTGAAAAATTTCAAAAACATTTGGATGTTTTCTCTTCTTTCGAGATGTAACGTTAAACCTTTTCTTATTCAAATAAATGTGTAATAATAGTTTTGCTTAAACACTGAATCCAGAACAAGCAGAATCTAAAATAACAACAAAATTTTAAATAAATAATGTCTCTATAGTCTATCTGTAACCAGCGGGCAGCTCTAAAACATTTGATATGATCTCGTGGGCCAAATATTATTATATCACAGGGCAAATTTGGCCCCCGGGCCTGAGTTTGACATGTCTGGTTTATATGCAAATGAGCCATGTAGTTTTAAGTTTTGTTTCTGTAAAACGTAAAAACAAATGTGTGCAAAGCTGCATTAAACACATTATTACACAATGTATTTTTGGGTCCTCCTTGTAGTAAATAAAAAACTAACTTAAATTATCCACCCACATTCACATTCATAATCCACATTCAGCAAGACAGGGAGGCAACGCCGGGCGAATTAAGCCACGATTTACCGATGGATCATGGACGCCTGGACTAAAAATCTGTCAAGTGTCGTCCATTTGTTTCCCTTAATGTGCCTTAAGTATGAAAACAGACAAAGAGAATTCAACATTAATGATATTGTGCCTTATAGTCTGAAAAATACGGTACTCGCTCAGTGGTCCAGGTAGGTTCCATAGTGGCCCATGGACGTATACTAGTCTAAGTGCTCTTATACTTGTTCTGATACAGCTCAAGATCTTTCTTAGTATCCGATTTTCGATACTCGAGACCACCGTCATCGTATCTTTGAATATGTATGAACAGAAGAAGCCTTTTTTGGATGCAGAGAGAGCGCAGACTTGTAGAATATCTGGACATCTGCTTTGCTTCACTCAGGCCCAGAGAGGAGAGACGGAGAGAGGGTTTTCAGAGCCACACGTCACTGACAGCTGAAGACTTGGTATAATTTAATTCCTGGCAGAAAAGTGAATTAAACAGACGATAACTGACACATGGCTTTGTTTGGGAGATTCTGCCCAAACCCAGACACAGCTGTTCATTCGAAACAATTAAAACTTTAACAAAAACTGCAACTTCATCACTGGACTTCTATTGTTTGGGCAGAAAATTATATGTGTGAAATTAGACAAGGAGCTGATTGAAGGGAGAGTGGATATATGGAGCAGATGAGAGGGTAAATATATGATCTCCATGGATATGTTACAACTTTGTCTGAAACGTTCCACAGTTTGCTTTTACTCCTTTTACTCACCCAAAGTTGTATTTGGAATAATTCATGCACGTCTGACCAATCTTTAATCACTTATTCTCAAGATGCCAAATTGCCAACCAGAATTAAATTTTTTTAATCAGGTGGTTGGTACAAATGAAAACTCATTGTTGTGATTAAGCTTTCGGCGACGTCATCTCCAATTAGACACTGCAATTTTCTTTTTCTAACGCAGAAATTCGTGGACTTGTTTCTTTCATTAAATTTAAATTTAAAATGTGCAAATTATTACAGAATGATTCACGGTGTTGTAAATTATAACTGTATAACAAACACACCTTTAAACATAGTCATCTCCATGGAGACAAGAAGGTGATGCCACCAGGCCAAGTTACGAGTCAGTTCAGTGGAGAGACAACTTGATTCATCAGCGGGCTTCACTTCGTGGAAACCGTCTGACCATTAGGAATTGTTCACTCGACAGTAGGCAGGTACAGGAAGAAGAGCAATAACGTCTTTCCCCTTGATAAAATTCACCAAACATTGTCTTTGTTCCGGCTTTATATCCTCAATCTCAGGAATCGTTGCCAACACTGAATGTCTGTCTTAGTCTTCGACCATCTCGACGCTTTGTTTACTGTTGTGTTGTTCCATAAAAGGGACATAGACAGGTGCTTGAATTTGACGTCATGGCTTCACAGCTCTTCACTGATTGGCTGGAGCACAGTCTACAATATTCGGGGGTTTTGCAAACCGTCTAGTGCAGGGGTGTCAAACTCATTTTGGTCTGGGGGCCGAATCCAACCTACTTTGATCCCAAAGGGGCAGGGGAAAATAATGGCATATATACCCCAAAAACAGCAATAAGTTCAAATATTTGTGCAGAGAAACTTAATTGATGATTTCTTTCTTTTACAAAATATTATAATATTATGAACAACCTGAAACTTAAAAAAATGAGGGTGTCACGGTCAACAGTCAAAACGATCGTCCTTTAAGAGCGTTTGGAAAGAGACAAGTCTTCATTTGTGCTGCTCTGGTGGGAGGGGCCACGTACAGAGACACTGGAGACGCTGCTGTGATAAACACCTCAGAAAATTTACTATATTTTAATAGAAAATATAATTAAAATATTTTAGTAGAAAATCAGACGAGGGGCAGATTAAAGGTTTTGGAGGGCCAGATCTGGCCCCTGGGCCGCATGTTTGACACCTCTGATCTAGTGTATTCCGATTCCTGATCTAATCACTGGAGAGAACTGAAATTGAGCGGAGGCACTAGGTGGCGCCAGCCTGACTGATGGAGAAACACTTCCACAGTAAGAACACATGACTCTAAAGGTATAATGCAAATCAGACTCTGTCATATTCAATCACTACTTTTGAGTTAAATATCTGGGTTAAAAATGAAAAGACATTCAAGAAAATTTGTTTTTTCTTCCAGATTTTTACTGTCTTAAAAATGTGAAAAACAGGACTAGTTCCTTTTAAACAGTTTGCAAATTATTCCTCACTTACCTTATACATTCTGATCATCTTAATTATTCACCATGATGAGTTTACAAACACTTTTCACAACTGTCAGACTAGTGCAGTTTTGCCATTCTGATAATGCTAAGAACAACTAGCAAGCTAATAGTGCACTTCCTGAGCCTCTGACAACACAACGCTTTATAACAGATGCAGGCAGGAGACAGCTTAGACGTATTTTGACCTCAAGAGCTGCTAATACAATAAAACTATTCTGGGCTAAGACACATTCTGCTGAAAAAATAGACCGAACCATTTTTAATTCTGGCAAAACATCAAAATGAGAAGACAAAACGTTGACTTAACGCCGGCGTTTTTTCTGAGCTGTTAACAGGTGGCAGAGCAGTTTGAGCTAAATCACTAAATCCCTCCCAATCTGCTGAAAGTGGGACCTCAAAAGCAATATCTCCCATTAGCCTCCCGCCCTGTTAAATTGGAAAGTCAGCTCGCGTTGTTAGCCGCATGTTGCTAAAGGCTAATTGTGCTATAAAGTCCTATTCGTCTCCATTTGCAGAGCGGCTACGGCGGCTCCATTTTCATTAGCGGGGAACGTGCGGCGCTGAAACGGGCAACGGTCCCGGCTTATTTTAAACGGCTACAACAGCAAGAGGTGAGGCGAAAGAACTGAGGACGATTTGAGGTTTATTCTATTTTTAGTAAGTAAAATTTGTTTTGATGTTGATTCTTTGAGTAACTTTTCCGGTGGAGGGTCTGTCAAATGCTTTTTCTTTGCCCTCTGAAATGTTTGTCTTAATGGAGATCAAATCAGACCAAGTTACGGGTCAGAATGTCTGTTTTTCTAGGCATTTTTGAGCTATAAAACCACCTGTAATTGAATAAATGTAAGGCAGAACATATTGTGGAACATTCTAAGCAGAGCAATGACGTGTCCATAGAAACAAACAGGTGACAGACCCCAAACCAAGAAGTTACTCGAGCTGTTTTCAGGCCGGTCTGAAAGGTGCTGGTGCCAGGTCCCACTCCGGTTACAGTGAGAACCAAAGTGCTTACCTGTGAACGACTAACGTTAAGTGAACACATGATGCGTCATCGACAGAGGGAGTGGATTTGCCACCAGATAAAACAAGGAAAGTGGATGTCACAGCGAGAAAATAACCATAATGAATCGCATCATCGACACCAGTGAGTGTTTTTAATCCGTGTGTCATTCGTTCATTTGTTTTTCAATATAAAACCAAAAATCAGAAAATGAAAAAAACTATTATTTTCTTCATTATTTGTCTCCAAAACCAAAATGAAAAAACGGATAACGATTCATTTTTTCAGTTTTCGATTTTGTCTTTAAATGAAGAATGGAAAAAACAGATAACGACCGTTTCCCGTTTACGTGACTTCCGTGACTGTGATGCCGGACTTTTGCGTCGCATACGGACTGAACCAGGACTGATCCAGGTCCGGGACCAGAGCGGGACCAGAGCAGAACCAGAGCGGGACCAGAGAGTGACTGAGACCGAGACCAGACCAGGATCAGACAGGGACCAGACTGATACTGAGACTGGGACTGAGGCTTGGTCCTGGCCTGGTCCCGGTCTCAGTCCCAGTCTGGTCCTGGCCTGGTCCCGGTCTGGTCTCAGTGTCGGTCTGGTCCCGGTCTGGTCCCGGACCTGGATCAGTCCTGGTTCAGTCCGTATGCGGCGCAAAAGTCCGGCATCACAGTCACGTAAACGGGAAACGGACGTTATTCATTTTTTCCATTCTTCATTTAATCATTATCATTATCTGTTTTTTCATTTTGGTTTTGGAGACAAATAATGAAGAAAATTGTTGTTTTTTCGTTTTCTTATTTTTGGTTTTATATTGAAAAACGAATGAACAAATGATACATGGATTTTTTATACAAATCATTATTTATCTGCATCGAGCTCTGATACAACATCTGCTGTAGAAAAGAAGGCAGCGACGTCCAATCCAAAGATGGAAACTCACCAGGAGAACATGGATTCAGCAAATATTTATTCTCCTCCGTTGACCACTGTCTTCTTCTGTCTGTCACTACCTTCTTGTCATTTGATTTCTCCACCATATTCCACACATACGTTTTCTTTGTTTGTTTATTTTACCGCATGTGACCAGAATTAACCTGCTGACGTTTACTGTGTCGTCACGGTTTGCGTAGAAAAACAAGTTTTCGGTTCGTGAACGCTCTGATTTCTGGTATGAACACGTTAGTTGGTTCGAGATTAGGTGCAGGAACTTTCACTTGGACTGGACTGAAAACGCTAATAGTGCATCTTTAAGGGGCGGTATATAGTCTGTACTCTTACATCTTAAAAATGGTTCAACAATCACAAATTAATCTGTGTTTCCAGACTAAACCTGCAGAAAGAGAAACACACAAACTTGTCTCATTCTCAGTTTATGGACAGGCCTCATATGGAAGCTCAGAACCTCCAGAATTCCCTCTCTGAGCTGCAGAGGCTGCACTAGCACTGGTTCATGTCTGTCTGCAGGTGCTGGGGTTCAGGTAGTGATCATTCAGAACAGAGAGAGGCATTTTAACTGGATTACAGCACTGGAACTGGGAACCCAAATGAGAGACTCTTATGAGACTCTGCTTTGTAATTGGCTAATCGTCTAGAAATGAGGAACATTGCAATTCAAAACCAGATATTATAGTCAGAGTTCCCAATCTTTTTTCCCACTTTTCCATTACTTTTTCACGAGCTAAAGTGAATTTTCCATGACTTTACTGCACCTACATGTGTAGAACTGATCAGACTTTTAGGGCTAAATATGAAATGTTAATCCTTTCCACTCACCTTATGGTTTGGTTTTATAGTTTTTTAACATTCAAAATCCTGTCAGTGCATTTATTGTCATCTCTTTTAAATAAAAGGTGCAGACGTTCAGAAATAATCAGAATAGCCTCATGAGAACTTAACAGAACGCTGCAGTTGCTTGAAAGAGATACTAAAATTCTATGACTTTTCTAACACTTTCATTGAATTTACAAAATTTCATGACTTTTCTAGGCCTGTAAGATTACATTTTCAATTTCCATGACTTTTCCAGGATTTCCATGACCGTGGGGACTCTGTACAGCTTTTGAAAGACCAAAAATCCTTAAAATAGCGACCATAACGGACAATTAATGTGATGAATGACCCAAAAATTAAAAAAAAGAACTGCACCACTAGAAACAGCTTGGATCCTTTTACCAAAACATCCAAATGAAAACACACTTGGCCAACATTAAAAAAAAAAATCCTCAGATGTCTTGTCTAGTAAAAACCATGCAGGTGTTCAGAGCTCATACCTGCAGGTCTTTCATGTCCTTCTCCAGCCTGAGCCGCTCTCCGGTCTCACTCTCCAGCAGCTGAGACGCCGACTCTCCTGTGTTACGCTCGTCCGTCAGCTCCGAGGACAGCTCTGAGATCTGGAGGAGAGACGAAGAAACTCTTAAAAAACATAAAACTATCAAATGAACCACACACTTTCTGCCGTTGTTTGAAAAATTACACTAGACATTCCTTGACATTTCATCGATTACGTTAATTTTAATCGATCAAACCGAATGTAGGTTGCTGTGTGTAGTGTGACCAAACAGGTGTGTACATGTGTCTCTGCATCAGAAGGAGCGAGACACAAACAGTGGGTCAGTCTGCAACGTACTGAAGCATACTCGTCTTAAAACAATAAAACCAGTAAAATAAAATAAGAGCACAACCATAGAATAGATAAATAAATAAATAAAAGACACAGATTATATATTTTCTTTTCTCCTGTTTTTATATTTCGCATTGCAATTCTTGAATTTCTCTTAGAATATATTAAAATTCATCTTAAAATAAAAGTACATTTCATTTTATAGGTATTGCATTTTTTTTTTTTTACCACCAAATATAACAGCTTTTTGGCAGATATAGTCGGTTTAAATGTGCTCTATAAATAAATTTGAGACAAAAAGCCCATTGAAAAACAGAGGGAAGTCGAAAACCGTTAAAAAATTGCCCATATTACACTATTTTTTATCTATATTTTAATGTTTTTTCTTCATCCACAGAGCGTTTTGAGCTTTGTAAAATGTAGACAGACTAATAATAAAAGGTTAATCAAACATGTGAATGAAACAAAACACAACTCCTTGTCTGTTTTTGACAAGGAAATGACATTATAACAGGATTTAAAGCTCACAAGAGTCAAACGTGTAATATAGGAGCATTAAAAACACACTGTACCATTATAGTGACAGTCGTTTATCCTGCGGCAGATTCAGGTTGAGCTGCTTGACGCCGTAATGAGCGCCATCATCACCGGGAGAGTGTTTTTCAAGGCTGTTGTTTTCATTATTTCTCCTCGTTCTAGATTAATTTTTTTCAGATAAAAGCGGCGGCGGCAGGTGGCTCACACCTGGAAGTCTGCGAGCAGCAGGTGAACGAGGAGCAGCTCATAAAACAAAACACTCACTCAGATAATTAAGCCTAAACAAACAAATATAGAGAGCTACAGAAGGAAGAGGAGGAGGGACAGCAGGAGGATCTGGTCTGTACTGTTCAAATCCGACTGTCTTAGAATACAACATAAAAATACTTAGACAATATTTAAAGGTCCTAGATTACTGTAAATTGACTCTTGTGAGCTTTTAGATATGTTATAATGTTGTTATCTCATCAAAAAACAGACCTGGATGTTTGAGTAACGCTGGTTTATCCGTCTGTCTACATCTGCAAAGCTCAAAATGATCTGTTCCACCTCGTGATGTCATGTAGCAGTAGTTTTCCTTTTACTTTTAGTTCAGTAGACAGGGTTTTTCACTAACAAAATTTCAAAACTTTTTTATGGCTTTTTCACCCTTTATGGTTTGGTATTATAGTTTTAAAAAATTCTAAATCCTGTCAAAATAATAATCATAACAGTCTAATGAGAACTTAACACTGTAGTTGCGTGAAAGAGATACTAAAATTCCATGACTTTTCCAGGATTTCCATGACCGTGGGAACCCTTAGAGATCCTGAGTAGAAATCATCCAAATGATTCTAGTAAAGGTGTATGGAGTTTAAAAACACAGTGGAGCTCTTCTTATATTACCACATGACCTCACAAGGTGAGATAGAGTGTTTTAAGTTTGAGAGAAAAGCACGTGTGAATAAAACAAAACAAAACTCCAGGTCTGTTTTCTTTCATGGAGATGTAATGTGAGACCCCAGCGACGAAAACCACACTGGACACTGGACTCTGTTTGGACGCCTCAGGGGCGTCTGGAAGAAGGAGAAGAAAGAGCCGGAGCCGGAGCCCGCGGTCGGGCCGAGCTGAGGCTCGGACACGTTGCATCTCACATGGTCAGAAAAAAATGAAAAAAGTGTAAAGAAAAGACGTCAAACTTAAAGAAACGCTCGCGGTGGACTTTTTCAAAATAAAAGCCAGTGAGAAACAGACGTTTACAATAAGCGATAATGAATTAATTAGTTAGCGCAAAATTAACGCGTTAACATGTCCAGCCCTATAAAAAACAAAATGACAAAGTATAGATTGATACTGAAAATGAAAAAGCTGGATCGGTGCATCTCTAAATAAAACTTAGTACTCTAAACTCTAACGATTGGCTATTTTCTCTATCATAGTTTCTCTATCATAGTTTGCATAATTAGTGATAATAGTAAGACCTAATTAATTGATTGTAATTAAGATTCTTGTCAAGCCTTCTCGTTCCTTCTCGTTTTGTAATGTTTTTTCTTACCCTGCTCTCCAGGCGGTCTGAGTTCAGTCGGAGTTCGTTTCGTTCTTTTTCCACTTTCTCCAACTTCTGCTTCAGCTGCTGGATCTCCTCCTGCCACACAAAGAAACACATGTAAAGTAAAAGTGTGTACTACAGTATTGAACAGGAGGGCTCAAACTTTTCTCACCAGGTACCAGCTCAGGAAATATTTGGTCTTACAAGTACCGGGAGGGAGAGAGAGATCTAAACCAGGTCTATAACAGGACTATTCCAGGTCTAAACAAGGAATAAATTATGACTAAAACATTCAAACCCAGAACTAAACCAAAAGAGACCGTCTGGATTGAGCAAATATTAAAACTTTTGTGTATTCTTCAGTTATTTTGTATTTGAGGCGACTGGGACTCAACTAAACAGTAGTCTTTGAAAATAAAAATGAAAGTCGCACTTTTTTTTAATGGTTTGGGTGTTTCCTGTGACTTAAACTCCGGTGCGAACTTATATAATTTTTAATATATATGTCCCAGTTTTTAGTCCTGTTTTAGTCCTGTTTTAGACCCTGTTTTAGTCCCGTTTTAGACCTTTTTTAGACCTGTTTTAGACCCTGTTTTAGTCCCGTTTTAGTCCCTGTTTTATACCCTGTTTTAGACCCTGTTTTAGACCCTATTTTAGACCCTATTTTAGTCCTGTTTTAATCCTGCTTTAGTCCTGTTTTAGTCTTGTTTTAGACCCTGTTCTAGTCCCGTTTTAGACCCGTTTTAGTTCCGTTTTAGACCCTGTTTTAGTCCTGTTTTAGACCCAGTTTTAGACCCAGTTTTAGACCCTATTTTAGTCCTGTTTTAATCCTGCTTTAGTCCTGCTTTAGTCCTGTTTTAGTCTTGTTTTAGACCCTGTTTTAGTCCCGTTTTAGACCCTGTTTTAGTCCTGTTTTAGTCCTGTTTTAGACCCAGTTTTAGACCCAGTTTTAGGACAGGTTTAGACTCTGTTTTTAGACCTGTTTTAGACCTTTTTTAGACCTGTTTTAAATCATGTTTTTAGACCCTGTTTAAGCCCCTGTTTTAGTCCCAGTTTTAGACCTGGTTTAGACCTGTTTTAAATCATGTTTTAAGACCAGTTTTAGTCCCTGTTTTAGTCTTTTAGTCCTAGTTTTAGTTCCTGTTTTAGTCCTGGTTTTAGACCTGGTTTAGACCTGTTTTTAGACCCTGTTTTAGACCCTGTTTTAGTCCTGGTTTAGTTCCTGGTTCCTGGTCTCTGGTCTCCCCAAAAATTGCAACTTATATCTGTTTTTTTTCTTCATTACGTATGTTTTTTTGTCTGGTGTGACTCATACTCCAAAGTGAATTATAGTCCGAAAAACACTGTAATAGCAAATCTACACGTAAATCCCTGAAAAAAGTTTACAAGGTCCAAAGTGACTAACGAACGATTAGGACCGTTGCAATTAACAATTCAAAACCAAGTATTATATCTTTTGAAAGTCCAAAACTCCTCAAAAAAATCCTCAAAATGGCAACAACTACAGGAAACAGTTTGTGTATCGAAGTTTGAGAACCACTGCACTGTATTAAATAGTTATAAACAGCTTTTGAATATCTTATTTCTTTTCCTCTAATCTGCTCTTCTGTCAGCTGCACTCAAATACATTAATTATAAAGTGTTTAGTGTTAGATTGCATTAGACTGTGTTGCATAATAAAGTAAACAGTATATAATAATATTTTCTCACATCTTCATTATGTTTTTATATTTTCAGCTGCACTCATACATATAGTTTACAAAGTGTATTAAACATATGACATATCCATAAAAACAAGCAGGTGACGGATCCTCCCTCCAGAAAAGTTACACAATGCACTTTTAAATAGATGATAAACAGTATAATAATAATAATAATAATAATAATATCTCACGTCTTTTCCTCGTATCTGCTCCTCGGTCAGCTGCACTTCGATCAGAGGCCGCACCGTCGTGAAGAGTTTCCACCAGGGCCAACCTTTGACCCCTCGGTTCTTCTTTATGTTCTTCTGAATGCAGCGGATCGCCAAGTCCTGGATCTGAGACACAAACGCACAAACAGACTCTATTACCACACATTTTCTTCACAAATACTTTAAAAGGACAAAAAAATATGATGATTTTGACCCTGAAAAAACGGTATTAAAGCAATGTGGTCTACTCCATTCAGTGAGCGCTATATTGGAAATACGAAAAAGCCACTTCACAAGAGGATGAACCAACACAGACGAGAGAGCAACACAGGACCTCAGTCTGCTGTACAGCTCCACTTAAAGGTTGTATAGAGGATTTTTTAAGGGAAGTGAAATACAGCGACAGTTCTTTTTCAAATGTTGTGCATACGTGACACCACCTTCCTCCTCCACAGCCTCAGTCGAAACACCTCCTCCTGCTTCTTTACTCTAGAAATCACACATGTTTACATCCAGTGCGAGTTCAGAATTACTGTTGAAGTTTCCTGTCCTGAAATATTTCAGCGACCGATGCGTCAGTTTTTAGACCCTTCGTCTTCTTCAGTCGCGCCGTCGCTGGAAGGGATCTCCAAGAATCATCTCAGTTTGTCTTTGCTCTTTTTTCCCTTTTCTTCTTATTTTAGCGACCTCAAAAACGGACTTTCTTTTGCGGCGAACTGGTCGTGGATTCTCGTCCGCCATCGTGACAAACTTTGTGCGAATTGGGAGGAAGCGACTGCATAAACCACATAATCCCGCGCGTTGACGAGTCAGTTACACTAGAAACGTAGGGAGTTTGATTGACAACCTAACAGCCAATAGATAAAGAGGGAGCCTTGTTATCTATTGGCTGATGTTTATCTGGCCTCATTACGTCCACAGTTGATCGATTTTTATATATATTTTTTTGGGGTCATCATAATTACAAAGCTGCTGCGTCTCTGTAATGGTATTTTAAACTTTCAATGACAATTTGAAACAAAAAAAAAATCCTCCATACAACCTTTAAATGCCAGGGACACTCCTTTGAGGATAGTGAGGTACAGATCTTAAAAGAATTGGTTTGAAAACGGAGTTAAAGAAGCTATTTTTGTTAGGAATGACAATCCTTCCTTGAACAGAAATGGACTCCATCCTCAGACCTAAAACAAAGAGAACAAATAGGGGGAGCCAGGTCAAGGCCAGAGGTGTGAAAACCCTCATTTGGGGCCTGAATGATTCTGCTAATATCACCCTTCACTGAGTACAGATGAACAGGCTGAGATACAAACAGAAATTGTAAACAAGTAGGTGTGTTAGTTTCAGAGTAGTTTCAGTGTAGTTAGCTCCTCCCTTCAGACACATTTAAGGCAGTGTCCACCAGCGTCTGACCAGAACTGAAGAAGCAGCTTGGACGAGCTGTGAAAGCTGTTTTTGACCTAAATAAAAGATTTAAACACAACAGACTCCAGGCACTCCAAAAAAGTAGAAAAAGTTAAAAATCGTACGAGGAAAAATATAGTAAAAAGGCCTTTATTTGTTGGTTTTAGCCATTCAGATAAAGGCCTTTAACTATATTTTTCCTTGTGCGATTTTTTTTACTTTGTCTACTTGTTTGGAGTGTCTGGAATCCGTTGTGTTTAAGTTTTGAGCCTTTTTCCACTTGTTCCTACTGATTGGAACACCTGCAGCAAACAGCCACATTTTTGGTCACATTTTTGTAAATAAAAGATTGTCCAGTTGACAAATTGAATTTCTCCTTTGCGATGGATTAAAGGTCCTATATTATGCGGAATTGACTCTTCTTAGGTTTAAGTCGTGTTATAATGTTGATACCTCTTCAAAAACAGACCTGGAGTTGTGTTTTTTTTTCCAATCACACATGTTTGAGTAACTCTTTATCATTACTCTGTCTACATCTCCAAAGCTCAAAATGCTCTGTTCCACCTTGTGATGTCATGAAGCGGTAGTTAAAATTAAAATAAAAAATAAATAAAAGACACATTGAATATTTTCTGTTCTCCTGTTTTTATGCTTTGCGTTGCAACTCTGGAATTTTTCTATTGTGGGACAACGACAGGCTCTCGAAATATGTTAAAATTCAGCTTAAAATAAAAAATGCATTTCATTTTAGAGGTATTGCATTCTTAATACCAATAATATAACACCTTTTTAGCAGATATGGTTGGTTTAAATGTGCTCTACAAATAAAGTTGAGACAAAAAGCTCACAGGGAAGTAGAAAATCTTTAAAAAAGGGCCCATATTACACTATCTGTTGAATCTTGTTTCCTTATCCACAGAGCATTTGGAGCTTTGGAGATGTAAACAGACCAATAATAAAGGGTTACTTAAACATGTGTGAATGAAACAAAACACAACTCTAGGTCTGTTTACGATGAGAATACAACATCATAACACAGATCAGAAAATAGTGTAATATGAGCCCTTTAACTCCAATCTCCTCCTTCCTTTTCCTCTGATAGAGAAGCCGAGGTGAGGGTTGAGTCAACACCGGCGTCTCAATTCACTCCCGAACGGTTTTAACTTTGACGAATGGCGCAGACACAGACGATTCGAGCACAAATGAAGCATCAGTGTTGGGAGGGAGTGCGCGCGGAGACATTAGCGGTTATCAAGGCTCGCGGTGGGGCTGTGGAGGGACTATTACGCACTACAATTGGGCATAAGTGCTCTCAGCGCGATCATGAACACAACCTGTTACAGCATTAAGCCCCATTCACGCGCTCGTGAAGAGACGGGCTTTCTGCTGCTAACGTAATGAGAGGACGCTTTATCAAACGGAGCGGCGCAGACGCAATCAAGGCCGCTACGAGGGATCTGGCCATTTTCAACAGGATTAGAAAAGACCGTTCTAATATTATAATTGCATCGAGATGTTATCGCTTTGTCTGGAATGTTACACAGTGTGGTTTTAAAATTTCTAGCTCCGTGGAGACCAAACTAGACCAAGTTACAGTCAAAATGCACAGTCTGAATGTTTATTTTTAGGTATTTTTGAGCTCTAAAACAGCCTGTAATTGATTAAATGTAAGGTAGAGCTGTTGTTTAATGTCATATTGTGGAACATTCCAGACAGAGCAATGACGTATCCATAGAAACAAGCAGGTGAAGGACCCCCAGCCAAAAAGTTACACAGTGCACCTTTAAAAAGTGGGTATTACACTTCACACTTCAATTTGGGTATTAATATTTAACAGAAGTGGGACCAAGTCATTTTGAGAGTCTCAAGTCTTTGACCTCCAGTCCCAAGTCAAACACAGGCAAGTCCAAGTCGAGTCTCGAGTCATTGGCCCATAAGTCCAAGTCAAGTCCAAGTCATCTGCTTTGAGCTCCAAGTCATTTCAAGTCTTTAAAGTAATAAATATAGCTTTGTTTTTTGCAATTTATATGACTTTAGAACAGACCTGTCTAATATTATAATTGCATCGAGATGTTATCGCTTTGTCTGGAATGTTACACAGTGTGGTTTTAAAATTTCTAGCTCCGTGGAGACCAAACTAGACCAAGTTACAGTCAAAATGCACAGTCTGAATGTTTATTTTTAGGTATTTTTGAGCTCCAAAACAGCCTGTAATTGATTAAACGTAAGGTAGAGCTGTTGTTTAATGTCATACTGTGGAACATTCCAGACAGAGCAATGACGTATCCATAGAAACAAGCAGGTGAAGGACCCCCAGCCAAAAAGTTACACAGTGCACCTTTAAAAAGTGGGTATTACACTTCACACTTCAATTTGGGTATTAATATTTAACACCAGAAGTGGGACCAAGTCGTTGTTTTGCGAGTCTCGAGTAAGTCTCAAGTTTTTGACCTCAAGTCCCAAGTCAAGTCCCAAGTCAAACACAGGCACGTCCAAGTCGAGTCTCGAGTCACTGGCCCAACTCAAGTCTGAGTCATCTGCTTTGAGCTTCAAGTCATTTCAAGTCTTTAATATAGCTTTAGTTTTTGCAATGTATATGACTTTTAAACTAAATTGTACTCAAAAAGTCATGGTATATTTATATATGAGGATTTATAAAGTATATGAGAGTTGTAGAAATGCTAACTTTTTCCTTTTTAAATGTTTCAACAAGATCTTAGTGCGAATCATTACGCTCAGAACAGAAAGAATTAAGATTTAAAAGAGCAAAAGGAGACAGACGAACAACAGAGCAGTGCTGCTGAGACAAAGCGTTTGAAACCCATGGATCTATTAAAATATCCTCAGCAAATATGACACCGTGAGGACTCGCCTGGCAAAATGACACTCCGAATAGTTCCACAGTTCATCCAAAATAAAGTCCAGGCCAAGCTAAAAGACGTCAGAGCAACAGCACCGCACTACACTGCACTACACTTTAATTTTTTATGTTTTGAAAATACTATATTTTCCGAAAACAACGTATTAACATGTTTAATGAGTGTAATTTTTGGTTTTTTTTGACACGTTATCAGTGTGTATCCCGCAAAAGTTTTCGATGAGAGAAAAACGTCATGGTAGAAAGCTCCAAAACGTAAATATGGCGTAATAAAAAAATAACTTGCATGTTTTTCTGTTAAAAATTGAATAAATGAAAAGCAAGTTTTTTATTTATTCAACACCTACAACAGCAGAAGGTTCGACTGTCATTCACATATCTTTTCTGATGTTGACAAAAAATATGTAAACTTTAGTGCACAGTTGTATTTATTTAGAAATAATGGCAAAACCTAGTGCCTCCGCTCAGTTTCATTTCTCTCCAGCAACTAGGTCAGGAATCGGAATACACTAGAAGGTTTGCGAGAATCCTGGAAGTGCAATTTCGGGCACCAGCCAATCAGCGAAGAGCCAGACATTCTGTGTTGGCAACGATTCCCGAGATCGAGGATTTAAAGCCGGAACAAAGAGAATGTTTGGTGAATTTTACCAAGTGGAAAGACGTTATTGCAGAAAGAAGAAAATGTTTGCTGCAGGTGTTCCAATCAGTGGGAGCAGGTAGAGGGCGCTCTTGGAAAAAGGATCAAAACTAAAACACAACAGATTTCAGGCACTCCAAAAAAGTTAACAAATCGCATGAGGAAATATATAGTTAAAAGGCCTTTATTTGAATGGCCAAAGAAAACATG